GACAATACAGTGATGTACATACTGATTCCAAAGCAAGAAAGAGACGAATCTGGGGGATGTCCAGCCAGGGTAAAGCAGCAGAAAGATGGAAGAAAGCTTCTCCTAACACAGAGCTACTTCAGAGAGGCATATTTCTGCTTTACGGTGAGGTGGCCACAAATGGTGGTAATTAAAACCAGCTGCCCATGTCATCTTCTCATATATATGCAAGGCTCAACCTCTGATGTCAGGGTAGTACATCAGCATAAAATCTGCTATAAAGGAAAAGGCAGACTGTTGCAAATAAGTCCTTTGGGAATCTTCGGTGATAAATCCAAAAGATCAAGAGCGAAGGGCTGACCTGGTGCCTGAGTCTGGTTTGTCTAACACCAAAGAGTGGCAGTGAGGAAGGGTGCAAGCTTCACTGGCCATAACCTTACCCCTAGCTCATCTGAGCTGATGAGCTTGCAGTCCTCCAAGTGCATTGAGTACTTTCATGCAGCCTGACGTACCTACAAAGAAAGAAAATTCTGTTCGTGGCTGGCTGACCAGTCACTTGCTTAATTAATACTTGAAGAATCAGCTTGTGCTGCCTTGGTGTATTTATCTATGGATGATGGATGCTGTCCCTGCAGGATTGTTTTGCTGATGGAAACTGTCCAGCTCACCTGCAGGTCTTTTAATGTTGAAGCAAATCAGCAAAACACCTCTTTGAAAAGACAAAAACATCCTTCAAACCCAAAGTTCCTCCTATTATTGAGCTGAAAAGTGCCATCAATAGTACTTTTGTTGCACAGGTCCCATTTCTGAGCAAAGAAGTCCCAGTGCAAGCCTCAAATAATACATTTAGATAATCTTGTGAAATGTGGTGTGCGCTAAAAATGCCTCCTATGTCATTTGCTGTGTACCCTAACCCAAACACTGGGAATAATTACCTTTTATTTTTGGCACACACTCTATGTTGAGATGCAGAGACTGTGGAGCTGCATGTCTTTGGTTTGTGTGATCGGAGGAAAGATCAAACAGAGCAAATGTCATCCAACATTTATTTTTCTTCTCCTTTGACGTTGTGCTCTCCCATTGCAAACACCTCAAACCTGGCAGCACCTGGGGTGAGCCTTCCCCCGCCAACATGCCCTCAATTGGTGCCAACCCTTGTGTCTAATGAGTGGTTGCATTTCTGACAAAACCCAACACAACAGCGATAGCTCCGCAGCAATTGGTGCAGGAGGCTGGATTCTGGCTTGCTGAGTGAGCTACAAGCTATTTATGGCCAAGCAATAATGGGAGAAAAACGCCATCATGCCGAGTTGGTAATGCTTGGCTCTTACTTCTGGATTTAAATGAGTACCCAAACTGCAGGGCACTGCAGAGTCTGACCCAGACTGAATGACTTGTATTTACATCTGGCTCTTAGTTACTCTATTACCTAAGTGCTCCAACTAAGCCCTTCTAATTAATCCTTTCTCAGTAGCAGTACCGTACCTGCTTGCTCCCTACTTAGCAGATTTGTTTCTTTTGTCTAGGTGATGGCAAGAATTAGGTCTTATTTAGACATGAACAGGCTCAAAATTGTGCCCACACAACTTGAAAGGAAATAAATTTACATTGGTAAGATTACTCGTGAATTTATAGTGACATTTGTACATAGTGAGAACACAACAGGCAAGTTTGGTTTTTTTTGGACTAAGGTTAATCAAGCAAGAAAATGCAACACCAGTAATGAAGCTGTATTTTTCACGGTTCCCTGTCTAAAAGTCCTAAGAGTCTTGTTGAGTCTTGTTTCCACGTTTTGCTATATCTAAAGCTGAAGTAGGCAGTCAGTGATTTACATTTCCAAATGCATAGATATCAACGGCTCTTGCAAGCTGGGACAGTTAGTTTCATTAAAGGTTGCAGAATAAAGGATAATCATCTCAGCTACAGCTTGGCAATAGCTTGGAACAAATTTTCAGATAGGAGTGTAGGAAAATATTGCTTTAAATGCTTTCCCTGCAGCTTTAAATGACATTGAGATTGAGAGAGACTCTGAAATAGATGCGTAACTTGAACTGCAAGCAGCAACTGATAAGGAAACTGGGGCAGAGGGAATGACTCAGTTGGATGTTGTGCAGAAGCAAATCCACATGGGGCTTTGGAAATGTTCATCCGTGCCAGTGATAATGCACCAACTGTGGAGCTGATTATGACAATCAAGAAATCCTGAGAGCAGCAATGAAAAATAATCAACACAAAGAACCAGAGGGAACCTCAGCGTCAAAGGGCACAAAGGACAGCGTTTGGAAAATAAAAGGAAAAGAAGGGACTGAGAGGATCTTTGATCTAAAGGCTTCTTCCTGCAGGTTTTATCTCTTCAGCCAGAAAAATACAAGGCATATGTCTATTCCCTTAAGAACTGAACAACATGTCAAATAGGAGAAAGAGACAGAGAGAGAGACAGGGAGAAGACCTCCCAAAATAACAGTTAGTCATCATAAAAATGCTTGCATGAATGTGACAGAAGAAAAAAAAAAATATATATATATATATATATATCCTAAAAATAAATATGTAACAAAATCTAACCAAACAGTATAAAAAAGTGCAGTAATGTGTGCAGTGACTTGGACATAATAGGGTAGATAAATATGCAGTGCCAGCTGATCTCCTTTCATAAGATGTCTGTTCCATATTTCAAGGGAGCATATCCCTTTTCCAACTGATCAATCCCTACTTCTGACAGGTGACATGTACACTGATGCCTATTTGTCCTGTTTCGTGGCCTCAAGTGAGTATTTTCCATTCCCTTTTCTTTTCATGGTCTTTTTTCAGTGTGTCTGCCGTGCACATAAACAGGTCTTCAGGGACCCATTACAGAAAGCAACACGAGAATAACTCCCTCCTTGCATCTCATTTCGCACTTTTAGTGGCAATCACATGAAGGATCCCCTTTGGGGAGACTGACTGTTTCCTTCAAGAGCTCTGGCAGTGGTGTTTAAGCCATTATTCAGAAGATCGGAAGATCTAAATCTGTTTCATTTCATCTCTATCAGGGGCAACAACAGGGGAGGCTGAAACTTTACCCATCCTCTAGCTCATATTGAAGTACAAGCAATGAAAGAGTGTTATGGGGCCTTCGGACCCCAGAAACCACACTCCTGCTCTTGGGACCCACCACGGAGATTGTATTTCTTCACTAGATGTGCACACACACTGCCGCTGTGTCCTCTGCACTCACAGAAATTTAGGTTGGATTCTGCTCTGCTTCATCTGCTTTGCCTCGGGTTTTCTGGCAGCCTGGCATGTGTGTACGTTTCTCTCAGATTGGTCTAAATTCAGAGAGGCTTGGGGGTGCAAATGGAGAGCTTGTGTCAGGAGATACCAAGTGGGGCATGTAATCGTCCATTAGTCTTTGTGACCTTCTCTGGGGCCTGTCATCTGTTGGCAGCCAAAGCCCTCTTTAGGTGGTGTCCCCCATGCACCACATTTACTGCTGGCCTGCGTGTGGGAGTCAGGCAACTGGTGCTAGCTCTGTGAACCTCCTTGTGCTCTACAAATCCCCAGGAAGCATAACCTGGAAGGATGTAATCATCTCCTGTGTCAAGCAGGGTGACCCCTGTGTCTGCAGAAGGCCAGCACACCCAGTATTGGAGGAGGGCAGCACCTCCTGAGCCAGGTTTGTCCCATCTCTCTTTTTCCTGGCTTAGATGTTACGCACAAATGTACTAGAAGTGTTTATGATCAAATCCCTTCCTTTGGGACAGATTTGATGTGTTTTATTTTACCTCCCATTAACCTCTCATTTATGTATGATGCTAAGAAGAGACAACATCACTTGTTCCTTTGCCAAAGCCAACCTGGCAAGAGACAGGCCTTGCTATCTGATTTAAGTGGGAAAAAGAACGATTTAACATTGGGAGGGGTCAAATTCCCAGCTGGTTTCTAATTCTGCACGTGCGTATCCCCTGTTTGTCTGATCAAACAGCACATTTCTAAAGCTTCAAATTTTTCTGTAATTGGTGTAAGAGCTTCACAAATGCATGAGGTCTAGTAAAAAACAGCACTGCATTACACATAATTGTGGGTTATCTCACCACTCTTCTGAACCTCAAATGCAAGAAAATAACCCTGACAATGAGGGGATAAAGCAGTATGCTCTGCAGGTTTACACACCAGGGAGCAGCTTGGGAGCTGGCTGTATACTTTCTAAGTGCTGCTGTTTGGATTTGTGTTTCACTACAGTGATAAAGGGGAAACCATTCCAAAGACCTCAGTGCTAGCGAGATTTTTTTCCTTGTCTATTATTAGCACTCTGCTTTAGCAGCAAGCACTCATGAGCCAATACGCACAATTTTAAAGGACTTCAAAAGTGTCATCGGGAACCAAGTGATATGTATGTTAAAAAGGGTTTAATGGAGCTGCAGTCACTGTAGCACAGCGGCTTTTTATAGCAAGTTTTTACAGTGTTAAGAAAAACATCCTGCAGATTTCAGTAGGGCTGGCATATGGATAAGGTACTTTGCACTATGATTTTTGTTTATCTGCTATTTAAAAAAAAAAAAAAAAAAAAAAAAAAAACAGAAAGAGGGAGCTGCTCTGAACATTGCTAGCTATATGAAGAATGATAAGCAGGAACAGGCCTGCAAAGCTCAGCAACAGCTATTAGCTCTATTTTGGGTGTATTTTTTTTCCCTAAAAAAAAGGAAAAACATACATTTGCAAGCCAGTGGCTTGGTTTAGGGAATGAATATATACAGTGATACGTATTCATATTGAAATTGTTAACTTTTTTTTTTTTTTTTTTCCATAGCCACTGGATTACAAAACCATGGACCACAAGGCAAATTGTTCCCCAGAGCTGAGGCAGGCTTTCAGTGACCATCTCTGAAAGCGCCTTAGGTTGGGCTCCTGCTGAAGAGAAGCCTTAAGAAACCATTCACAAAAACCATGTTAAATACTAGAGATGACACGATTGCTGTGGGGTCATATTGATCTGCAGGACTGGCTGAGGATTTGGCAGGGAATCATTGATTTTAAAGATGAGAAACTGCTGATTTATATTATCCATGTTTCCCTTTACAGCGCCGTTTATGAGCCTGCTTTACTTATGCCTGAGAAGTCTGTAGAGGTGCCAAAGGAGACAGGCTCCTCATTGCACTTCAGCATCCTGCAACGAAAGCCTGCCCACATCTGGGAGAGCCGACCATGAGCCTTCAGGCCAGGGAATGCCTGGCTGCAGCCTCGTCCTCGAGAACAACAGCACAGGCAGGAAAACCCTTTAGCTGTTGTGCCTGCCCGAGCAGGGACAGATCAGCATTTCCAAACCTCGCAGGCAGCTGAGGGATGTTCACAAGGCTGGTGGGAGCAGGGCTGCCCCAGCCCGCTCCCAGATGTGCAGCTCACTTCGCTCCCGCTGTTGCCATCGTGCCAGCAGCTGCCAGCCCATCCTCCTGACTTGGTGTCTGCCGTCGGCAGCCTCTTTCTGGTTTGTTTTTTTTTTTTTTTTTAATTTTATTTTTATCCCATCCTCCCGTACGGAAACTCTGCTCTAAAGAAGCAGAAGGAGAGTATTTATTTATTTATTTATCTGAGCGGAGGAGGGCGGAGGGCAGAGGAGTGCTGGGGCCGGGGCGGGGGGGGGGGGGGGGGGGGGGGGGGGGGGGGGGAGGAAGGTTTTTGTGGGTTGTTTTCTTTTTGCAACACTAGTTGCTCAGGGGAGTGTCTTGCGTTATTAATGCTGAGTGGCTCCGGCAGCTACTGTGGTTTTAAGGTCGTTAGTCACCCGCTGCTGGCGCAGGAGAAGTGAGAGCACCGAGCCAGAGCTGCTCAGGCAACCCTCTTTGTCCTGCCAGACCGGCAGGTTGGGAAGAGCTGCAAGTGGGGCCGCGGGCCATGGGGGGGTGTGGAGGGCAGCCAGAGCTGCAGGGACATAGCCCCCTCACCACAGCCATGGGGCAAGTGTGGGGTGCTCCCTGCATCCCGTAGGGGCAGGCTAGGGAGCAGCCCTGCATCGTATTTTACCCCCCGCGGGAGCTGCCAGTGCGACAGAGATGCAGGATGCTCCCCGCGCATTAAGGGAATGCAGGCGCACGTGCGCTCTTCCCATCTGATTGTTGTTTTTTTGTTGTTTTTTTTGTTTGTTTGTTTTTTTGTTGTTTTTTTTCTCTCTCTCTTTCCTTAGGATGAGGGCCTCTAGGCAGACATTTCTTAATTTATTCTGCATCCTCTGGCTGCTGCTGCTGCTGAAGGCTGCCTCTTGCTCCCCTCTGCCCAGCGGAGACGACACACCGCATCCTTTGCTCCCCTCCAGGCTGTACAAAGGACACACCTGTGTCGGTATGTATGCAGGCTCTGTTTGCCTGGCCGGCTACTTCATTTGTTACTGCACCGGTGAGCGGAGCACTGCTGTGCACGTTGTAAATCACTCCTTTATCTGTTCCTACAGCTGTACTGCAAAATACCCAAAGCCTTTGGCGAAATTGTCACTTAAGATGTTGCAAGGCCAGTGTGGGGTCTGGAGTTATTTTATGATTTTGTTTTTGAGCGGCTGCTTCCCAAAGTTCATGGTTTTTTGCTCTACAGGGAATGGTGTCTGAAGCTGTGGCTTCAGCGTTTATAAGTCTGGGACCTGGAAAACTGGCGACAGTTCCCGATGCTGGCGGTGGGTCAGGCTGGGTGGTGTGTAGCCACGGGAGGACACGCTGTCCCCCGGCTCATGTAGGGTCTCCTCAGTGATTCCCTTTCCCAGGAGACCACTCCTGAGAGTAGCTGATCCTCGCTTGGGCCACAGATAAATGCCTGGAAGGTTGTTACCCAAGGTGCTCGCATGCTGCAGCTGAAATTCCCCAGGACCTGGCGGCATGGCTGATCCCTGTGCTGGTTTTGGGGCCAAGGGATGCCAGGAGGGGGGGACATCAGGGTAGTCACATCTCCTGCTGTGCAGCCAACAAACTGCCAGGGCTCCTTCCTCCCATCTCTCCTTCTCATGAGTGTATCCTGCACTTCTCATGTGCTCCCTGAACAGGACTGTGGCAGCCCAGCTGAGGTGGGGGGGTGTGTTTTGGCAGCCCCTTCCCACAGAGCCAACGTGCCTGTGGGGATTTCCACAGCAGCTGTGGCTGGGAGCATCGTGCAGCCCTGACACCCCAGACTAATTTCTTCCCAAAGCAGAACTGGTGACTGGTCAGCGTGACCTGGAGGTATCTCTGTGTCAGAAGGGCTGTCGGTGTGACACTCTGTATGCCTAGAGGGATGTGGCGGCTTACATCTTGCATGCACACAAATGTATCAACCACATCCATCACTTAACTTTATGACCCAATGTTTTACACTGTCTTTTTTTTAGCTTTCGGGGCATTTTTGTGCCATAAACATAAATCACGTTGCAGTTCTCCATGCCTCAGAAGGCAATATTTCAAGCAAAAATGCTTTTCATTGTGTCTCAAGGAACACAATTAGAAATAATTCTAAGCTTGATTGAAATTTTGTTGTTGTTGTTTGTTTGTTTCCCACGCTCCCAAGCCACCCAAAGTGCAGATCTGAGCAGTGCTGAGGCAGGGTGAATGGAAAGCAGAGCGAAGTCATGGACTTGAGTAGCTCCAGCCAGGGCTCAGCCGCCAGCCAGAAAATGAAAGCAAGTGGTGAAAAGCAGAAATGGCTGCTTGGGACCGCTGCTGCTGGAGCAGGTAGTGAGAGGGAAATGGTGCTTTTTAATGGCCAGATCTTTAGTCAGCAGCATTTTTAATGGCACGGAGGAAGAGGTGAGCATGCTTCCCCTGGGATTATTACAGCTGAATTTTTAAATTTCAGCTCCGAATGTTGTCTGCCCTTTCCAGCTACTTCATGAGCACCTAGTTGCCCCATCGATGCACAAAAACCCTAAATGACCCCCAGAGACCTTCACCACTCCTGTAAGCCACAAGAGAGAAGTCTGCGGGGCACTGAAGCATCACAGGGCAAGGCTGGTGCCCACAGGCACCCCAGCAATCACCCCACGGATTTGTGGGTTAGCTGCTTTTTTGGCTATCTCTTGGAAAGGAGGATGAGCTGCCTGTGCCTCTTCCCTTTCACAAAGAGGACAGGGGTGTTGGTTGCACTGGAGCAGGGGTAGCATCTGGTTTGGTGACCAGCCCTCCTAGGAGCAGAAATGAAGTCGAGATGCACCACATCTCTGGGAGGGCAAGTGTAATTTCCTTTCAACAGCTTGACCACAGACACTGTTAGCTCAGTTTTCTGTCTGGGAAGGCATCAGAAGAGGGCTGTGAGAACTTCCGCTGACCTTTTGGCCATATAGACCAAGGCAGCATTTTTAACATTAGAGGCACCCACTGCAAAACGTAGAGGAGTTTTCTTGAAGAAATGGACTTTCTCAATTAAATGCTTGGTCAGGGGACTAATCTTTTGAAAACATTTGTCTCATTTATTTTTTTTAAGTGAAATGAGGTGTCTGCACATTGAATAGTCATTTCTGAGCACTGCTCTGTGTGCAGAACTCACATGACGGAGATTACTATGTTAGTAGCCAATGCCAGTGAGGAAATAGATGATCTTTCAGTTACAAAACACAGAAAATATTTTCCATAAAATCTTTCCACTGAAAGTAGCACTCACCTCGAAGAAGTATGCAGAAATTATATGATGGGAGAGTGAAGTACAGCTCTGGTACCCCAGCTGAATGTGTTACAATTTGGTCACCCTTTTTCTGCTCCCCTTGCTAGCGGCACTCCCTGGGTAGGCACCATATCCCCCAGGATGTTCTGGTCATACTGGGGAAATGACTGGGTCATTTTTGATGCATTTTCTTGGGGAAAAAATAATTATTATTTAAAAAAAAGGCTGCTTAATTCAAAGAACTACTTTTCACAATTGACTTGGTATAAAAAATATATAGAATATGTATATTATATATATAATCCCCCTAGAAAGGGATTTAATGCTGCTGCCTTTTAGAATTATAGAAGAAAGAGGGAAAGAACCTGGTGATAACCCTCTTGGCCTTGAGATCAGATCCAGTGCTCCTAAGTAGTTCCTAAACATCTCCAACCTACTTTTAAATAGGTACTAGAGATCAGAGTTTCCACATGGTCTTTCCTTGGCCCTGTCTTCACAGAAAGCTTCCCAGCACCTGACAGTCTCTTTTCTCCATCCATGAAACTGTCTCCTGCCTCCCCAGGCTGGGGAAATGCTCCCTCTTTTGCATATAGTGAAACCAGCTCAGGTTCTCCCTCTAGTCTTCTTGCAGGCTTTGCATGTGATGTACGCTTCTGGTTTGTCCCAATGACAGGTGAAATGGCTTTCATATGTTTTCCTCTATGTGAATACCCATGAAGATGCTTTTTGCTCATGCAAAGACAGCGAGTTTATGGTCTGTGCACTGTTTTGGGAGCTGGATTTCAGATTTGGTTTTAGTTTCTGGGTTTGTTGTTAACTGGCAATATGTCTTAAGGGGTTTCTTCAGGACGAGACCTAGAAAACCTCTTGCTAGAAGCAGCCTGAGAGTTTCATTGGGGCATCCAGAGAGCAAGATGCTGTGTGTTTTTCTCTCAGGAATTAAGTATGAGTGTGACCTTTGAATACCCAGCTCAGGCCTTTGACATTTCCTATCTGTTAAATGAGGAAAATACCACCCATTTCACGAGGCAAGTAAATGTTTACTTAAGCTAGTACTAATGTACCCAAAGATAGTACAGTAACCCCAGTAACTAGTAATGCCAATGTTAATATTTCTTTATATGTAAGATGATGTTCATTATTTATATACTATTTCTGAAAAAGTTGTAAAGGTTTTATTCCCCTTCTGAATTATGACAGAGCAATTAAAGTGTCTGCAAGTTGTCCTGTACTCTAGCAAAGTCAAATTCATCCAGAAGTGTCTGAACCACACTCAGGAGAGGCAGAAATTGCCCTGAAAAACAGGGGAGATGCTGAAAGACAGGAAGGAACTGATACATTCATCTCTTCCAAATGGTGAAAAAATGAAATTTGGGGAACTGTAGATCAGTCAGTTAAGCATCAGTTCCTGGAAAATTCATGCAGTAATTAATCAAAATTTTTTCAAAGCACCTTTCAAAAATAAATATGAATAAGAGCCTAACTTGATTTATCAAGGAGAATCAGTGTCAGAACAACCTAATTTTCTTTGATGACAGGATAACAGCATGTAGACACAGAAGAAGCAGTAGATGCTTGATTTTAGTAAGGCTTTTGGCACCACCTCGTAAGTTTCTACACAGTGGAATAAAACTGGTGAATGGCCTTGTTCACAGAGTAATTACAAATAACTCACCCTCTATGCAGAAGGATGTACAAAATCAGATCTTTCTTAGACCTCAACTTTGAATGTAGTATCATTCCATATCTTGTTTAGCCTGGATAATAGAGTGCTATTAAATTAATAGCTTAGATAAAACTGAGAAGGCTTGCAAGTGTAGTGTAGGGCAGGATTAAATTCAAAACAGTCTTGAAAACTTGGAGTGGTTGCCCCACAAAAAAAAAAAAAAAAAAAAAAAAAAGTCATTTCAACACAGGTATGCAGATGAGGAATGGCTGGCTAGGTAGCATCCCCAGGGAAGATCATTTGGGCTTGTAGTGGCACAATGATGGCATGCTGTCAGGGTGAACACACACACTGCAGACACCAAGATGTGTGAACAGGAGTTAGCTTGCAAGACATATGAAGTAACCCACTACCTTTCTCAGCACTGAAAAAGCCCCTGAGGAATTTCTGCATTCCCTTTTGGGGCTGTCCATCAAGAATGAAGCAGAGTGACTGGAGATTTCAGAGGAAAACGAACATAAACTATAAAGCATGATTGAATAAATTGGAGTTAATTAGTCTAGAGAGGACAAACTTGAGAAAAGATGTTAAATCTGTCCTCAAAAACTTTAAAGGTGTGATTTATCCTCCAGGATCCTAACAGACACAGCAATAAATAATGGAAATAAATACTATTCAGATTAGGGGCATTCAGGTTAGGAAGAGTGTATGCTAATGGTAACAATAAGTAAGCACTGTCATCAGTTCCTGAGGAGGCTGTAGAAGACCTCATTAGAGGTCTTAACAGCTCTGTGTCTACCCTGTCCCTTAGGAACAGCACAGACACCATTGATTAGCTGCTAGACTAGAGATGTGTGTAGGATGGCTTCTTCCTGGACAGCATTTCTGGCTCTCTCTTCTGTGACTGCAAGCATCATTTGCAAATAGCAGAGTTTATTTATTTTCTCCCCAGCAGCAGGCTGCCCTGCTCCTTTTGCCGATTAACTTTGGCTGGCCTTTTTGGAATGAGGCTATTAGTCAGGGAGTGCTCAATACACCCGGACAGCAACGCTTTCCATCT